TTGGATGATTGACAGCTCGGACCGCTAGCAGCGCTGCCACATGACCGACACGCGGACTGTGGTAGCACACGCTTGCTTTGTCCATACACACACCGTGCACAGGGTGATACGAAAGTGGGGTTGCGAACACGAGAAAATAATAATAAAAAAATGATTACAAGAAAGACGGAAAAGTCCGTATCGGTATAATCTTTGCATTTGCAATTTAGTGTTTGGCCGCGATTTGTGAGAGGTAATTAAACATTATCGTAACGACAGCTTTTAGCCGACATGTTAATTTTAATTAAGAATAAGGACATCTGTTTTTATCTGTCTTAGCTTTGCATTAGTCTCCCCGCCAGATAACACTGTCTAAATAGATCGTACATAAACTCCGTGAAACGAGTCCTCCATCAACGAAATATCAGCTGGTCATGAAACTCCCGTGTTTACTGGACACTGGTTCTGGTTCACAACTTCATGGTCTGTTTCTGTATGGTCTAATTAGCTGACAAATTACTCCGTGCTAATAAAGCTTGTCGCTCCAAGATGTATGTACGCCTGTAATATTATTTGAACTCCCTCTTCAGTTATAAGATCAGTTAATAACTCCTGAAAGACGGAAAGTTTTTCATTTTGACGACAACCAGCAGCGGGCCTTCTTAATATGGAACAAGTTCTTTCCGTCGACGTAAATGTACGCCATTGCATAGTCCTAAGGCATTGAGCAACTTACTTGTCAAAAATTTAATTCAACGTTAGCATTTAAATCTGAATCTCCCAATGACTCCCTTCCATATTACGATCAAAAAAAAGTTGTATTTATTGATTCATGGAATAAAAATGCACGCAGTTAGATATGACCTCCTCGTTACTCGTTCAGTTGTATTTTTTGTATAAATATTCATTAACAACAATTGTACTTAAAACAAGTTAACGGAATACTGATTACTTTAATCTTTAGCTGGAGAAGTTGCTCCTATGTCTGGAAATTGTAATACATTTGCTATCAAGACACTATCTTGTAGAGGATTCTAATTAAACATGGATTGACATATGGTTTAGCACTCTGAGTAGCAAAATTCATATAAATGAATTCTGTTTCTACGAGTCAACACCACACGTCTGCATCGGGAGGAATTACAACCACAGACTACTCATAAATTTCGTTTGATTTCTAGAACAGGAGTGGAATGCTGTAATCCGGCTGAGGTCAAATCTCTTTTTGCCAAATGGGTCATTTGCTATTTGGCACGTACCTAAGTGGCCTAGATGTTTATTTCTTGCAAATGCAAATCAATTTTTGCAAGGTTACTCACATAGCACCGTCAGTAAATATGTTCCTACGCTGATCTAGTCTGGATATTCCCCGCCAATTATAGAACTCGACGTTTATTGCCGTCTTCACAACAGCCAGCCACTGCAGCCACAGGATTAGATTATGTAATCTTCTCTCCGAAACCAACGAATTTTGCCTTGGCGCCATTCTTGTCTTGTGCTTAGTTTTGGAACTGCATAAAACTTCCTCGCCAGGACACGTTTTGGTAGTTTGGCGTTTGTTTCTGCAAAAATATATTATTCTATAATATGTTCTATAATGAATATATTATAATGTGGGATTTGAGGTTTTCACAACGGTGAATATGAAGATTTCCGTCTTCTGGGTTGTTGCGCTATGTAGTCTGGTCGATGTTAACCAACGTTTCAGAGGTCATACTGCCTCCATCATCGGTGCGTTTCATCGGAGGCAGTATGACCTCTGAAACGTTGGTTAACATCGACCAGACTACACAGCGCAACAACCCAGAAGATGGAAATCTTAATATATTAGAAGCTAACAACTTTCATCTTGACGCCGTTCTTCTTAAAAATCTTAAAACGTTGCATACCACGCACGAAGTGTCTTTTTAAAGTGTAAACAGTTTTCTTTGTATGCATGATTTCATATATTTAGCTGTTCTTATGTTCTATTCATCAGAGCTTCAGAATATATTTTCACTGGGAATCGAATCCAGGATAATTTTTCGTTGTTCTGAACTTCGAAACAAACCACTTAGATTCAGGCTCCGTTCTTTTGTCGTTCTGGTTTCCAAGCTACGGGAAGCGACTTCAGCTAGAATCGAACACAAGGCACTTCTCCGGAATTTTGACCCCGATGTGGTCTCTTCCTGTTTCCAAGAAATAAGAATGCTAATTTTGGTGAAAATCGGTTCTCGTGCTATAAGCGAACAAATACGTAAACCCATAATTTCAACTTCGTGTAAAAAGTTGTATAGGCGAGCTTCGACTTTAAAGAGTTAAGGCTAGACTAAGAACCTTTGCTTGGTAAGTTGCGAATGCATTGACCAGCGTTCCTATGAAGACTGGATGCGTTAACTGAATAATTAAAGTAGCCTCAATACAATATCTAAGCCTGTTCTCATTCGTCCGTTGTACTCACTAACGAGTAGTTCAGCACGTTGCATTACTCGATTATTCGAGTCGTTAACTTTCACGTAGACACAAATTACATGCTTTCATCTATTCAAATTCGCAAACATATTTCAAGAATCGATATGAGCCTTCGACGTTGTTGTGTCAGTGTTGAATAATAAATTGCGAATTGATTTGTGACTTTCGCTTAAGAAGTAACAGTAGTCCTTTAGTTGTAAACGACCATGATGATCGTTTAGCAACCGACAGACAGACTGACCGACTCATGAGGTCAGGAGAGGGACGGACTTTCGCGATTTTCCATAATTATTAAACACAAGCATGTGTTCTGATACCACAGAATGTTTTGAAACTGTTATTGACCGATGAGTGAAATATGAGTACCAGTAGCTAATACATTTTTATTTTTTAAACGCGTCCTGTAGGAGTTTCAAAATCTAACTGTCTTTAAAATTTATTTTTACGTAGCTTACAGTTCATTGTTGCAAGATTAATCACGCTAGAGTCACTACACCGCATTTATTAATAAATAATTGTTCCTTTAAGTAGGCATAACTTAAAAAATGTTTGTATTAAAATTGTAGACCTTGTTGCGATCAACATTTCATATCGTATAAACCCTTAGCTAAGAGATGGTTTTGAGAAAATTTGATTTGAACGTCTTTCTTTCACATCCCTTATTTCCGCTTAGTGTGTCCTCCTGTAATCCTGTCTTCTTCCCTGTTTTTTGTTAGTATTTTATGAAAAGATTCTGGTAAAAATTCCGATTGTTTCTGAAAGCTTCATTCTGGCTTTATCTGTCATAGCTTTCACTGTCTTGTCTCTATAATGAAATTATTTTCATCTAGTAAACATCGTGCTATTGGAATTACTCCGAAGAAATTGCACATCCTCTGATGTCCTATGAATGGAGCTATATTTTAACTTCCGCTGACAACTTTCTGAAGTACAATCTGTTGCATTTGCAGGTCCTTTTAAAGAAAGTAACTTAGCTTGCGTGATCTAAGATCCGAGTGTTTATTTATAAAAAAAACACGAAATCTAGCGTGCTGCACCATTTGATTATATAAAGCTATATTTGCTGTAAAATTACTTCATGCGAATAAAACTTGCTGCATCTATATGTAATATTGTTTGTATTGCCTTTTCAGGCTACAGATTGGCTAATAGCTAGTGAAAAACAAGGGAAATAGATTTTCGATTCATGGACAGCTGACATTTGTTCTGATAATGAGAGAACAAAAATGAAGTTTCTTCTCTTGCGTGTTCGCCTTACGCTCGTAGTTGCTGCTTTATTCTTCAATATTTTTGTTTTTGCCTTGCGCACAGCATCTGGCGATATTTTCATTCGTTCTTTGCACAATGCCTACCAGAACTCGTCTGAGAAAGTTGTGTCTATCCTCCCGACTGTTCGCATATTTTTCTTAGAACGAGTTTCGATTAAGTTTTGATACCTGGTGGTCTACTCGACACTTGTGTGTGAATTTAATTTTATCCTGTATCGGTCTAGTAACTAATGAACTCCATGGAGGACAGCGCTCCTTGAGAAGTCGAGAGCCGTTCAGGTAATAAACATACCCCGTTCTTATAGAATCGAAAGGTGCATTACAGTAAAGATGACTGTCTTCTGGGAAATTACAACTATGATGGAGGCAGCAAGGACCTCCGAAACTTTGGTAAAATCTAACAGAATACGCCTCGTTATAATCCCGAAGACAGCCATCTTGGTGTTAAGCACTGTTAGATGTCGAAGACTGGTCTGGTTGTGCACTCAACCATTTCGGCTCGTTGCAAACCATTATTTGAAGGCTAACAAGATTTTTTTATATTCTGTACAGTGTCAACTGATTACTATTTATAACATAAGAACATTAAATTGTTTATGAAACTCTCTTGAATGTGATAAATTTTAGGCAGATGTTTCTTCCATTCCATAATTCATTTTATATTTTGAATGTTGGTCCTTTTGAATAACATTTTATTTCTCTCTCTTCACGATTGGTTTCCATTTTGGCCCTGTAGAGGGTGTTAAAGAGAACATTAGTAAGCGCCAAGTTAAACACATTTGCTGCGCATTCTGTGTCTGCAAATGAGGCGAATTATGCTTCGATGCTTGAAAACAAAGAGCAAAAGGGTGTTTACTTTGTTGGCTCAGTTTTAAGAAATTTGGCGTCAGAATGAAAATAGTTATTTTTGTATTCTATCTGAAGTTGGTTGGACTCACCCGGGGTTTCTGTTCTACTACTATTTTAATTAACGTTGGTTCAGTAAGGGAAAAATGAACAGCGCGCGCTAAATTAGAAGGAATGTGCAAGAATGACCTATTGGCACTCACCATAACACAGTGCAGTAGGGTTACTAATCTGAAGAATAATAAAGTCGAGGTAAAGTTTTCGTCAGTCGTATTTCACAGTATGACGACGCGACAACTAAACGTACGTATTTTGCGTAAAGTGAAGGAACACAGGAATATCTTCTGCTAGTGTAATGGAACTGTGTTGCTCCTTTCGTGTTTTAATAGGCCGATGAAAGAATGGAAGTTAAGTCATTGCGGAAAGAAATGTTGTTAACTCTGCTTGTCCGTGTTTGCAGATTCTCTGTTGCACAACTGTGAAGTCAAACGACGAAAAGTTTATTGAAATCACCTAAAAACGTGAAGTCAAACGACGAAAAGTTTATTGCTGGGTACAATGATGAAATCACCTAAAAAAATTATGTCACTCATAATATATCACGAACCATGTCAGAGGAAATTTGACAAACGTCACTCAGCTAGAAAGATTAGATGCTAGCACAGGTCTACGTTCCGATATAATTCATATTTTGTATTTTTGCCCGCTTGGAAGAGATGAGAAGTGCCTAAAACAATTTTGATGGAAAACTTGAAGAAAATAAATCTCTTAGAAAACCTAGACGAAGTTAGGAAGATAATATTAAACGCTATCTTAAATAAAGAGTGTGTGAGGATTTGGAATGGGTTTAGCAGGCTCGTGATACGAACCAGTGGTGGAACTTTGTGTATTCGGTAATGGGCCTTTGGGGGTTCATGAAACGAAGTTTGGTATTTCTTTACAAGCTGGTCGACTAGTAGCTTCTGAAGAAGACCTCCGAGCCGTAGAGTTAGTTACTTAGGGGACAGCCATTTTGGAGGCCTTGATGTGGGCGAGAGAATAATACTAATACGAATTTAGTAGAAGTCAGAGTAAAGTCTGGTTCTTGCTTAATTTGATGCGTTTATTAGCGAGCTCACGTGAAAACTGACATAAATATGAAAACTTTACTATTTGAACATCTATTAGTTCGTCGAGGAAGGTCTTCCAGTCAGTAAGTTAAGTTTGCTAGTTAGATAGTTAGTCAATTAGTTACTTGCAATATAGGGTGAAAGTTGCATGAACACCAAAGAGTTAGATTTGGAAATAAATAAGCTGTACTGATACAGAATGTATTTATTTACTTGAGGCGTTAGGGCGTTATCAGCCAGTCAACAGCCAAGCATCAGCAAAAGGGGTGGGAAACATTGTGGCGGTGGGTGTCAGTACGAGGGGGGAGATGCTTCGTGTTGATGCAGGAATCACGAACCATCGATGTGGTTTGGAGTTAACTGTTGGCACTTGGGTGGTCATCGTCTCTGCAGGCAGAGGACACTTCGAACGACACCTCTTGTAAAGCTTTTTGATTATGCTACAGTATCTTGTGTAATTGTTTAAATTCAAGAATCTGTTTCTTGTGCGTGAAAATTCTCTTGTTGTAAACGTTCATCAGAGGGAAATGAGAGAAGATGTAACAACTTGCTTTCAAAACGAACCAAACCCAAACATTTTGCTTGCTTACCATACATGCTGAATACATTTACTATCGTGAGAAAAAGAAAAACTCTTGGCTGTGAGCTTTTTTCAAAATACAAAATACACGCTCTCACAACATCCATAGGGTTAGCATTGGATGGTCGTGTACAAATGTAATGTCTTCGTGATAATGCAAAAGAGTCCAAGAAAGAAAATGTTCTGCGACAATTTACAGTTCTGTCGGTATGCCCATCTTAACTTTCAGTGAAATTCTGTGGGTAGTTATCTCTTTTTTTTTCATTTTGTTTTACTTATCAAATTTCGTATATCTGTATGGTTTGTTATTATTATTATTATTGTTGTTATTATCGTCCTGAAAGTGCATAATAACAAAAACCTGTCGTCACAAGCAATCGAACACGCACTGCATCAACAAAAAAAAGACGGTAGTTGACTCTAAGCACAGTCCATAATCTCACATGTTGTTTCTTTTGTGTCCAATTTAACATGAATTTATCTCGTTTAATAGGCCTACTTCGTACTCCCAGAAGTCTTCTTCATTAACATTTTCTATCAATTTATGTTTCTTTTATGCATGCTAAGTGCCTAATGAATCACAACTTTCGTAATATGGCGGGCATAAAGCACTCAGTGGAAATTCTCATGTGTGTAATTTTCCTCGTTCCCAATTCGCAGTTGTTTTTTCTAGCATCGGTCTTTGAATGTATGTAAACGGTTTTACAAACGTTTGGGAAATCTGGAGTGTGGTAAGACAGTCAACAGTTTGGGACGCTGGCTGAAACAACACCCCCTCATTAAACATGCAAATAGCTATTAACAAGGCAGTGCACACGATCCTTGTTTCTCGTGTCTCCGTAAACCACTGCCAGCCTGACCCAGCTTTAATTATCTCCTTCATTTTGTTTATTGAGCAGAAGACTCTTGTCACTTCACACATTGCTTAAAAAAATACAGTACAAGCGAGTGGTACCCGACCCAATAGAAGTTGTTGTTCTTTTGTGTGCTTGTTTGCCACGTTTCTTCATGTGTCTCATATTCACTGCAGACGCCGTATGCATATGACCCACATTTTATGAATCAGTCTTAGGTCAGGGATGACACTAACTGAATGTTAGGTCTCATTAACATTTGAAGCCACTGGATAATTCCACAGTTCATCAAAACTTTTTTAAAATTTAATTTTGCTGTTACAAGGTGTTTCCTCCCCGAACTGTAAGAAGAAGCCTGTGGCTGGGCTGCCCATCGGAACATAAACATTAAAAACTCTTTTCGAGGTGTTTAATTACCAATTGTTTAGTCTGTGTCGCTTTCAAAACAGCCAGATATTTCAAACCAAGGAGATTATCATGTATAGAAACAGCAGATATCTCACTAAGTGAGCCTGACGGTACTGAAGCAACGAGGGTGACCGGCATCGTTTAAGTTCAATTCGGCATTCGATATACCTGTCTTAGGTTTTTATCGATGATCTTATAGCTGAGGAAATGTAGCTTCGGGTGAGATGTGACGATGATTGGAAGTAGATAGGGATTTAGGAGTGGACTGTTGTGGAATATACGAGGCTCGTCCACAAAGTAAGTTTCCCTGGGGCCGTTTACAGAAACAAAACACAATTTCATGGAAATATTTATTGCAACAGATACAGCAAGTGTCCAGCTATTTTTCAACATATTCGCCACCAGAATTGAGACATTGGTCATACCGTGGGACCAACTTTTGAATACCTGTGTCGTAGAAGTCTGCCGCCTGGGATTGGAACCACTGTGTGACAACCATCTCCGCCTCTCTGTCATTCTCAAAACGCTGACGCTGACCGGACAGGAATTTCTTGAGGTGTAGGAAAAGATGGAAATCACTGGGAGCGAGGTCCGGGCTGTAGGGTGAATGATTAAACACCTCCCAGCTGAACTCCTGCAGGAGACTTGCTGTCCGTCGAGCCGTGTGCGGCCTAGCGTTATCACTGACCGCACTTCACAGTCGGCGGGAGCTGGAATAAGAACCTCCATCTTCAACAGCTGCAACGATGCTACTGTGAGAACGCGGGAAGTGCCGTTAGTGCATGCGCCATGCTACGTCATTGCTCTATCACGTACGCACAGTTGCTTCGCGCAATATAAGGTTTGCTAGCTGTGGGACGAGTGGGAAACTTACTTTGTGGACGCGCCTCGTACGAGGCCAGTGCCACTGTATTTGTATGCATAGACGGAAAGTAAGACCAACTTTATAAGATTTGAGGTTTTCACAGCGGTGAGTATGAGGATTTCTGTCTTCTGGGTTGTTGCGCTGAATCGCCCTGATGACGGAGGCAGTATGACCTCTGAAACGTTGGTGAACATCGACCAGACTACACAGCGCAACAACCCAGAAGACAGAACTCTTCATACTAAGAATCGCCCTGATGACGGAGGCAGTATGACCTCTGAAACGTTGGTAAACATCGACCATACTACACAGCGCAACAACCCAGAAGACAGAAACTTATATAACGGACATGCTTTCTGTTGACCTTTTCGAAATATTGTAAGTGGCTCAAAGGTAGAAGAGGCCCATAGTTGTTCTTAAACGGTGAAACTGTTGATTATGGTATTCTGTATAGTCTTGTGGGTACCTATGCCTGTTGTTTGTCACAGTCCAGAAGACCACAGTCGGTAGCGTATCGAGTTTCCTAGAAACCAGTCTCATAATTTTGTCAAGGAGGACATTGTATTGTCTCATGAAAACTATAAAACTTTTCGCTTTGCCACACGTGTATGTATAGGACTTGTTTCTTCGAGTATTCAGCAACTTATTGGAATGTTGGTGGTCCAGTATACATCTACACTATCTTCAGAGACTCACACAGTTTTGAAAGAAAGCTGTCGAGTATTATATTTTGACTTATTTATTTTGAATAGTATTTCCTTATTTACTAAAGCAGAGTTGTGTTGGCTTCAGCTTACAAGATTGTTTGAAGAACTGGGGAGAACCTACTATGATGTACACATTTCTGTTATGCTCATCTGCGCAGTCTTTGTTAAGACGTACTCTTTATTTTGTTTGAAGATAAAAACTGAATAGTTCTGTGTCAATACTTTACATTCATACATTTTACATTGTATTGTAGGGATAATAGTTTAGAGTGATATTACTTCTATTACAGAACATTTGTGTTTAAATGTGTGAACGAGCGAGAAAGGAGACGAAGAACATAACCAGTCAACAAATTTACTAATAAAACATCAAGGGATATGTGAACAAAACATTAAAGATATAATCTCTCATTGAAAAGTTATAAATAATCAGTCCGGCAAAATTTGTCTAAGGGTGGGTAAAATATCACCTTCCGCTAACCACGTGCATAATGATTATATTTCGATAATGGAACAGTTGTCAGAGCAGTGGAAAGAATCGACTTACACAGATTTATAAGAAGGCAATTAAACTGACAGAAATAATTATCGAGGAGTGTCACGGTTGTCAACTATACGTATACCAAGAATTATCTGACATTCTTATGTCGAGATAATTTCACACGTAAATGAGGTTATTGGGGATCATAAGTGTGAAAAAAGTCCCAAGAAAACAAGGAGGGATTGGAATTGAATGACAGCTTCTGGTCTGTGGCGATAATGTTAATTTATTTATTTATTATGCAAACATAAATATATACACAACACAGAAACTCAGTTGGATGTTAGTAAGGAACTTGGTCTGTAAGTAAACGCAGAGAGAATTAAGTACTACACGTACGTGTTTTGATGCAAGACTACGGGGCAAAATCAATGTAGGTAGCAAATAAATCCTTTGAAAATGTGGCAAAGTTAAAATATTTGGAAATTACATTAACAAATTAAAATTACATTCAGAAATAAATTAAGAACAGACTGGATTCCGGGAATGACTGCGAACATGCATTTCCGAACCTTACGTGTTTCAGTTTGCTATCTAAAAACGTAGATTAAAGTATACACAATTTTTGTTTTTCCAGCTGTTTGCCAGGGGTGTGCAACTTACCCTCTTACGTTAAGGGAAGAACGCAACTTGAGGGTGTTTGAGGACAAGATGCTGGGGGAAAAGTTTGGACCGCAGACGGAAGCTGGAAGAAGTTACACAATTAGGAGCTTCGTAATTTGTAGGCTATTCTTTAAGTACGCTTAGTTTTATCATGGTCAGATCGAGGAGAATGAAAAAAGCGGGACATGTAGTCAGAATTTTGAAGGTAAGTTGTCACTCGGAAAACATAGGATCTTAAGAAAGTAGGGTGTGAGGATTGCATTCATCTGGCTGAGGGTAGGGACCCATGGCGGGCTCCCGTGTGGTTTCGTAAAAGGTGATGGATGCCCTGGTTAACTGAGCAAATATCAGGTTCACAAGACGCACTCTGCTTCCTGGAGCTGTTAATATTCTGCACTTCAACATTTATCGATATGATAAACATTAAAAAATACATCGGGAGGTTACTACCGAGTTTATGTTGTTTGACGTCTATACTCCATTTAGCTTTGTAAAAGAACATCAGTGCCATTTACTTATGTAAAATGGCAAAGAATTCGTCTGGGAAATATTTGTATTCGAGTGAAATCAGTCTATCTCTACATTTTGTTTTTATTACGCCAGAATAAGATGTCAGTGGACTTGGCAAGGTTCATATGTTGGTAATTCCGATATTTAAACATGTGATTCTAATTTCCATTAGAGGAAGTAGCAACGTGCATTTCAGAACATCTCCCCTTTTAATTAGCTCTGCGATAGCATAAATAGATGCCAATCTAACAATCAATCTTCCTATTACAACGCCCGTTGTCAGTGTCAATGTATTCGGGGTGAAGAAAACGAAAATTAAGAAACATCGTACGAAGATACCTCCTGAGCAATGCAAATGCAGAACAAACTGCCTCTCGGCTCCTTCAGGGGTCGGAATTACAGTGGGATAGCTCGTCCAGCATCTGGGCTTGCCTGAAAATAATATGTGGCATCCTGTCCCACACTGATCAATGTATTCCTGTGTCTTGTCCCTTGTGTTGAATGTGTTGATGTTTATTCTGCTTTTGCATGCAGGCACTGTGTGGAAGTTAGCTGAATTCCCGATGTTTCAGAGGTCATACTGCCTATGTTCATTAATTAAGCAAAGACAGGTAATGATTTTAACGTTTGTTGTACATCATTACTTAATTTTAATTTTTATACGTTGCTTTGTGGAAACAGTGCACTGAAACAAAAGACTATTTACTCATCCATGACCTACTACGTGCATGTAATTCTAAACAACGGAGCAAAACATGTGTTTACGTGTTAACGCTTCGCAGATTACGTAGCTAATTAAGTAAAGATAAGTAATGGTTTGTTTTGTATGTGATGCTTTGTTACACTTTTAAATAGAAATGTTTTTAAGCAGTGCTGTAGGTTTTCCGTCATTCTTGAAGGGCAGTTTTTTAGTTTTAGGTTTATTCAGAATATTTTAGAAATAACAATGATCCTACATGCACCTGTGGAAGCATGACCACTTCTGACAACTTGTGTGTTTGTTTACCAACATATTTCAGTTTCATGCGTCATACAGCGTCAAAGTAGGGGATGATTATGAATAATGTGGGCAGAAACGATGGCTGTATACAATTTTGAGGTGCCATACAAATATTTCTGTAGACAGATATTACGAAAAATCCCTACGAGTAATCTGCCTTAGGGCCGAGAATCAAGGCCATGACCTCCCGAATAAGATACAGAAGTGATAATCGCCTTACCATGACGCCAGTGTCATTAAATACACTTGTTCCTTTTCCATAATTTACATAATTTCAGAAAAAATAATGAACATTATTCCACGCTCATTTCTCGTAAGAAACTGCAATGTGATGTTCTCACATAGAAGCAGAGACGTACCGTAGTTAGTGTAATTAAAGATTCGTATTTCCTGCGCATTTTAATAGCTCGTCATGAAGTGCATTGTGTTAGCTATTTCAGAACCTGTCCGCACGAGGGCTTTAATTTACATCCTAATTACATGCCAGGAGAGGTATAGATCACGTGTCTGCTCAGGAGATAACTTCCAAGTACAATGAACGTTGACGCAGGGAAACTTGAGTATATTTATTTTATTTTTATGGTTTATTTAACGACGCTGTCAGTAACTCTTATTGATGAATAATGAAGGGATGTGGAAGAAAGAGCTCGTGGCCTGGTCTGTACCTGGAGGGACTAAGGAAACACATGCGATATTTTAGCAATGGTGAATTCCTAATAGGAAGCAGGAGTGACCACTTACCCGCGACGTTCGATAAACCTGAGTAACGTTTCTTCCATGTGAAAATTCTGAGACGATACCACACCAAAGTTTCTTTCCGCAACTTACTCTTATAGATAAGCCATCTTTGATTTGTCTTTAAGGCGTTTTTAACCTTTCGGATGCCCTCAGAATTAGTATTCATTATCGAAATCGATCAGCTGTGAAGAAATGTCGGAAACATCAATTTAAGGAATGTGAAACCAGTCCCTAAGAAGCTAATTCACTCGGTTTGTCACGAAATTCCTTGTCTTTTATGGAACCTGAAAATTCATTATCATGTTCATAACAGCCCGCTACTACGCCCTATCCATATTGAGATGAATCAAACCACGCCCTCATATAGGTCCGTTATTTCTTTAACATCCATTGTAAAAAATCCTTCCGTCTATGCGTAGATGTTTCAAACGGTCTCATAACTTCACATTTCCCGACTACAATTTTGTATGCGATTTTCTAGCTTCCGGAGATGCTACATGCTCCGCCAATTTTACTTTTCTTGTGTGGATCTGTGTAGTAATATTTGGCGAGTACAAAGTATGAAGATTCTTTGTGAAAAATTTCTCCCGCTCCCGTCAATTAGATGAATTTTTTTTCCTGGGCACCTCGTGCCCTCTGCCCTTAGCCTAAGTGACCTGAGCTTTTGTGCCGTATTGTCTTCAGGATATATACGTAGGTTTTGCAGGTACTGCTGCCTCCATTACCAGGATGAATGAGAGCGTTGGGAACTAATGAGTTATAAAAAGGTTAGGTCGAGGATCTGGCCAGATACTTTGGCCAGTCAGAGCCATGGGAGGGGGAAGGGAAGAAGATGGAGACAGTATGTTCCTCCGAAACTCTAGTTCTTAACCAGAAGACTATTTGGCGTAGTAATCAAGAAATCCGTTGTCTTCATTCACGTCGTAGTAAAAACTTCAAATCCTCTCCCAGTGTGGGGGCGAAGTTTTGCATGTATTGTAACACCCGCGAAACGGGTAACATTACTGTTTTGTACAGCTTACATTAATCTTTAGGATCTTACGTATGAGACGAAGGATTCTGAGCTGAATTCTATGAAGAATTTCACAAATTTAAGCTGCTCTTAACTGATTATGTAATCTGTCCCATTTACAGATGCGTTACAAATAACTGCCACATTATCGCCGAGCTGTTTTGCCTCTGAGGATGAGGAGACTCAGAGATGAAGCGATTATTTATTTTTCTCGCTCTCGTCACCTACTCAAATTGTTTCCCCACTGAAAGCTTCCGTAGCAGGCGGTTTCAGTCTGTTATTGCCGTACAGTGTTGATGTTTCTGATTTGTTTGACTTCTGATGCTGTTAATGATGGGAGTTTAGGTGATAAAGGCCAACGTGCTGCAAAACTGTCGATGACAGGACCATTATAAATCTTCGTCAGAAATGCGTGTGTTGCGTGGTATCTTTATTTTTTATAACAGCTCTTTCCCACTGTTCTCTACAAGAGGTTGGATGCGAGTCCTGTTGCCTCACATACTTCAACCCCACCTTAACGCTGTACCCACTGTTCGAAGGAGGCTCTGCGGACCGAGTCATGGCAATACAATCATTGCAACTGTCGAAGAGGAATGCCACCACAACATACATTAAAGTAGTTGAATGTTGTTTATCGCAAAGAAATAGTGTGATTGGATTCATGTGGCTCTGAAAAAAGGTCCAGAGGTGGAGTGTGAATACTTTATTATTATATTATTATTTAGTGTTCTGTCTGACGACAGGTCCATATGAACAGGATCCTTCCCTCCTTTCCTCGGACTGGGACCTGTTCATATACGTTCTTGGCAGATGATCCAGAAGTGGTTTGCCATTGCCTTCTTCTGTGTGTGAATGGAGTAATTGTTGGGATGCCACGGAGGAAACCTCCGTGTTGCCTAGACCACGGCCTTGCCCAACACAAGTTATAAATTCGGGCACCGCCGGGAATCGAACCCGAGACCCCCAGGATTACTGGTCCTTTGAATCACATAAACTCTGGGAATTTAATTACTGTTTGAGTAACTGTAAAATTCTGAAGAAAACCCCTGCGCTGCGTGCGTTGTGTGTGTACGGTTAAGGTATTTTAAAGTCTTTGCCAACTTTAAGGGAAGAACAAAAATTGAGGCTGTTTGAGAGCAGGTTGTTGAGAGAAATGCTTGAATCTGAGGGGAATTATACTGGGCGCAAAATATCTGAAAGCCTGAGCTACCTCACATGAGAAGGGTGTGGCGCAACACGCCTCTGTGCTTTCTATTTTCTGTGTACCTCGTCTGGCTGGCCGCTCGAAGCTCGGAAATAAATTTCGGCAAGTGTAAGTAAACTGCAGAACGACGAGCTTCATGGTTGTCACACGTCATCAAATAATATTTCTGTTTGGGATGATGAAATGAAGGAGGGGGTAAATGGAAAGGCCACTGAAAAGTTGAAAAATTCTTTTCGAATAGCCTGAAGGGAGGAGATGACTTGGATAAGAGGATAATATTAAAATGTATCTGAATTCAATAAAATGAAAGGGTGGATTCTGGATTACTCCCACTCAGGATAGGGTCTTGTGGCTGGCTGTTACGAACGCGGTAACAAACTTACACGTTCCATAGAAGCGCCCCATTTCTTGGCCACATTATCTACTCTCAGCTTCTTAAAAAGGACTCTTCTGACTGATATTAACTACCTCATGAAACATTTCCTTCAGTTACCTGTGCCCGTGGACAGTAAACCTTATAATAGGAAATTACGTTGCATTCTTTTCACCGTCAGTTTTGTTGAAGAAATATATGATTTTCAAAACGGTTCATTAATCTACTGTGAAGGTGTCACAGTTTTGTGTGTATA